TCGTATCTGAAGCCATATCTCTGAGTTTTGAGTGGGCGCATGTCGCCAGTGTGCTGTGTTACTGTTTACATGTGTGAAAAGTGTGTTTGAAAACGAGTCTGATTGCAGTACGGAGGACTAGTTTAGCCAAAACTCTGCAACAGATTATGTGGATTTTAGCACTGACTCAAGGCATGGCAACCAAAGCTTTTTCAGATTTTTTTCGGATAAGTATACTATGTTCACATTCATCTAGTGGCCCCCAGCTAAGTGGTGGGCCACATACCCGATAAGGCGGACAACACTCTGGCATGAAGACTCGTGCCAATTAAAAGTCAAAACCAGTATGGTCAGAAAAGAAACACACGCAAACAATCGCACCTAACACTAAGCTCATGGAAGGTTTGATACACACAGAATCAGACAATCCTTTCTTCCTTCAATTCACCAGTTTTGCCTAGTTTTCAATTCAAATAGGCGATCACAATGTCACCTTTGAACGCAGAAATTGCGCAGATTCCTTGCACAATGCAGGACTGCGAGAGATGGGCGTAGGCAGAGCGAGCGAGGGTGCAGGTGGGGAGAGGTTGGAGCCAAAAGCGTGAGGGCAAGAGAGAGTGTGGGAGAAGCAAGACAGTGTAGCAGGAGGAAGAGAGTGGGGGAAGAGAGGGAGCCAGTGGAGAGAGCGCTGAAGAGAGTGGGGCTACAGGGGGAGCACGGGAAGACAGAGCAGCAGGAAGAAAGAATGGGGGAGAGAGCAACCGCGAAAGAGAGTGCCGCGGAAACGAGAGTTGAAGGGGGAGAAAAGTGGGGAGAGAGGGGCAGAGAGGTGGCAAAGAAAGAGAGAGGCAAAGATCAACACACGAACAAGACGGTATCATACCCAACAAGGGAGTGAGAAGACAGACGTGTCAACAGAGAGAACACGCAAAGTGCCTCAGAATAGAATGGAATCCCATGTTTCTCCAAAGCTTGAAACCAAGTGGGTAGTGTTCGTATCATACTTGCAGAGCCTCCAGCACGCCAAGTGAATTCCCAATCAGGTATACAGTCCGAGGGAAGCACTGCATCAAGCATACGTCATCATCAGATACAGGAGAGATATTTACCCAAGGGACTCTATCTCCGCGAGCTTTGCAAGGTCAACTGCCTTTCCGGTCGGCGTTTTCCCGTACGATTTCTGCTCCCTGCCATCATGAACGACAACTATTGAGCATAGCACCATTCAATGCTTTGCACCTTTCATGAGGTTGTTGGATCATTCAATCGTCATTCCAAATTTGGCACAATGTTTCTGTTCAGAACATTTATTTATGCTACATGCTACATTTGAACCTAACTTCCAGTGCAGCGCCCTCTCTCTCTCTCTCTCTCTCTCTCTCTCTCTCTCTCTCTCTCTCTCTCTCTCCCCCCCCCCCCTCCCTCTCTCTCTCTCACTCTCACACACACACACACACACACATGACGCCGACAGCGAGAGGAGAAGGAAGAGGAGGCGAAAGAAACAGATCTCACAACCTTCAAAGCTCATTTGCATGCAGTGGAATCATTTGAACATTACGTCGTCAACACCCCCCCTGCCCCCCAACCTGTGAATCCTAGGTGAACTGTTTTGCTTGCCATGGGCATTTGGTTCAGAAGCTCTGGATCCCGCTTACGAGGTGCCGAAAGGACCAACTTTGGTACAGGTAAAACAGTTTCTCGTATTTAACTTCCAGGATGCTCTTGTAATGAGCCCAGTCTCGTCAGTCAAACATGTTGTCAGATAACAATGCCGTGACATAGCAATGTCGTGCGATGTCGTAATCATTCCAGCAAGTCCATCAATTCGAAGTCATTGAAGTACATGATCCCTCATTACCACGCGTAAAGTCTCCAAGTCAAGAGTATCCAGATGAGAAAAGAAAGGGGGGAAGAAGAGACAGATGGAAGAGAGAAGAATATCGTAGCAACCAATTCCCTCTTCTCCTCCAGGCTTCCCCACCTCTACCATGTCAGCGATCTGTACACAGTATGACACGTGGATGATGTAAATGCAGCCTCTCGCAGATGAGCGATCCTTCAGCAGGGAACAGAATCAGCAGCAGCATCACATCAGGTGAGACCAGGTACGTGCGCACGGCCTCACGCCTCGCCCACTCTCTCTCTCTCCTCACTACCTCGCCGTCGACTATGGCCGCAGCAATGGCAGCTTCTCCTCGCATACTATAGCATCTGGTTGGCCCCCACGAAACAGCACGGCACCAGCCTCCTCCTCTCAAGTCTCACGTGCAGCATCAAAGCCGCAAGCAACTCGCAAAACTGAATGTCAACGAAGTGGCGAGGTCAACTCTTTATAGTGTTGACTCACGTTGTCCAGAGTCAGCTTCTGTCTGTGTGAGGCCACGGATCCTCCGGATGTTGACGGCTCAGATGCAACTTGTCCCGGCTTTGGTACGGACTCCTTGAGGCCTGAATCTTCCGGAACCTGCAGACCACCATTAGATCATTCCAGATCATCGGCCATGAAATCTCATGTGTTGACTTTGACTTCTCAGATCTGGGCCTGGGTCCACGAGTTGACTGTTAACATTACGGCCAACCGTCGGTCTGGCCTCTTCCTAATGCCTGTTTGACTTCAATTTCGAGTTATAGCATTCCATCCGGCCTGATTTTCAGTTCCTCATCCTTAATTTCTTAGACCTCTCTCGTATGCAGAGATGATATCAGGAGCGGTAGGTACGAGTTCTCTTCTACTAAACCAGCGAGCTTCAGACAGCGGTTGGTTAGAAAACTTTACCTTATATTGCTTCTGAGGTCTTCCTCTGTGGAGAAGAACCCCTGTTCAATTATCCTCTCTACCTGGAACCCACCATTCATTGAAGGGGGAAATGAGGACGGGATACTTGGAAATTCCTGTCCTTCAACGTAAGGTAGCAACTTAGAGGCATGGAGGACTGGGTAAGTCCTTAGATGAGGGGGTATATCGATTCGGTAGGAAGGCTGTATCTCCTAGCACTTTGAGAACTTCCCAGGGTCTGTAATAGACAGGCAGCAGTTTCTGCGAGACATTTTCCTCCAGTGAGAATTCATTGGATTTAACCCATACTACGTCTCCCTCTTTGAACTGCGCAGGCCTTCTGTGCTTATTTGCCTGTTCAATCATTTGTTGTTGGGCTTTCCTTATGTTCTCTTTCACCTTGTCAATGCCTTGTTCATGCAAAACTGCAAATTCTCAGGTTCCTGGGGCAGCCTTTGAACTTGATCGGTCTCAGAGGCTGCCAACCTTTGTGTAGAGCATTGGGTGTTCGCCCTGTAACAGTATGTACACTGTTGTTGTATGCACTTGCAACCTTGTGTAGATTCTCATCCCAGTCAACTTGGTCAGGCCGCACATACATACGTATGAGCTGCTGGCACAACTTGTTCATTTGTTCAGTTTGACCATTGGTCTCAAGATGTCGTCCCAATGACATAATCAATCTGGTGTCATAGACTTCCATCAATTTTTGCCATTGTTCCCCAGTGAATCTCACATTTCTATAAGACACAATGGTTCTCGGGAATCCATAGTCAGAAACCCATTGCATCTGAAACTTTGAATGACAAGGTATGTTCTTACTTCAGCAGGCAAGGGTACAAACAGCACGTACTTAGAGAATCGATCCACAATTACCATTACCTGACTGTTTCCATTTCGACTCTTAATTCGCCTCATGAAATCGATGGAAATGGACTCACCTAGTCTTTTAGGAATCGGTAGTGGTCTCAATTGTCCCAAGGGACTCTCGTGGGATGGCTTGTTGCGCTAGCACACAAGGCAAGTTCTCACGTACGTTAGTATGTCATTCTTCATTCCTCGCCAAACAAAGTGTTCGCGGACATTGGCAAAAGTCCTTTTAAGCCCAAAGTGTCCCTCTGTGTTATGGTACTCACCAAAAATTAGACTCTTTGTAGGTTCATTGTTGGGAGCACAAATTCTTTGTTCATTTCCTTCAACACAGGAAGGTATTCTGTTTGCCATTCGGTAATCAGAAAAACGCCGATGATTAGATTGTAGATTATCTATAATAAGTTGCCAGATTGGGTCAATGGCATATCCTTTTCGAATCTTATCCTTGAGGCCGTTTCATATGTCTAGATAGGTGACAATTATTCCAAAGAAGTCACTTCTGCATGAGAGAGCATCAGCTACTAAATTGTACTTACCCTTTATGCTTTTAAACTCAAAATCATAAGTATCAATAAAACGAGGTTGCGTCTTAAGTCACTTCAGGGTATCGTGGTCTGAGTAGACTTTGAAGTGCCTACCTAAGAGGTAGTGTTTCCATGCCAGTAGAGCTTGCAATGGTGCAAATACTTCTCTCTCGTAGGTTGAGTTCGCTACTTTGTCCGAAGGGAGTAAGTAGGACATGAACTCAATTGACCGGTTACCCTTCCCATCATTTTGCTGCAGTACAGCCCCAATCCCGTACTCACTTGCGTCAGCACACACAACGAAAGGCAAGGATGGGTCTGCAATCTTCAACATAGAATAGTGAGTGAGCGCATACTTTAGCTTTCTAAACACAGACTCATAGTCTTGATCCAAAGCCAAATAGCTTCTTTGTTCAGGAGCCTCCTTATTGGAGTAGCTACGGAAGAGAAATTCTTAACGAACTTCCTAGTCCAAGGAAGGAGCGCAAGCGCAAGTCAGAGTTCCATGCTTAGGCCAATCCTTTATCGCAGCAATCTTCTTTTCCTTTGGTCTCAACCCATCTTCATTCACAACATGTCCTAGGTATAGAACTTCAAACTTCATGAATTCGGACTTCTTAGGATTCAATTTGAAATTGCCTTTTCTCAATTTTTGTAGGACTAAACATACATGTTTTTCATCGTCTTTCATTGTCTTGCTCAAGACTAGAGGTAAACTCCTACGAATTGGTCCAACCATTCTCTGAATGACGCGTTCATTGACCTCTGAAAGGTAGCAGGTGCATTAGTCAACCCAAACGGCATCACTACAAACTCATAGTGACCATACCTGGTTTTGAAGGCCGTCTTGTATTGATCTTCAGGGGCTACCTCAATCTGGTGGTAGCCGAACTTCAAGTCAATTTTATTGAAGTACCTGCATCCTCGCAATTGGTCTAGAAGGTCGTCAATTCAAGGGACGGGTTCTGCATTCTTAACAGTGACCACGTTCAACCCTCGATAGTCAATACAGAGCCGTAACTCACCTTCCTTTTTGGGAACAAACAAAATAAGTGCCCCATAAGGAGAAGAGTTAGGTTTGATCCATCCCTTGTCAGTTAGTTCCTGCAGCTGCTTCCTCAGCTCATTAAGTTCCTTTCGCAACATACGATAAATTGGTCCTTTGGGAATTTTACTTCCGGGAACAATCTCAATGGTATGCTTTATCTTCCTTCCAGTTACCCCCATTGGTTCATTTTGCAGGTCCTTATATCCGTCGAGTAGTTTTTCAGTAGAAGCAAGGGAGGAAGAGGAACATTCACCGATAGTCTTTACTAACAGCATCATCACCTCCCGAGAGGAACATTCATCAACAATATTCACTAACACCATCATCACCTCCTGTGCCAACGTCTTCTTCACAACCATTGATCGAAATGCAGGAAGACTCGTACAACAGAAAGACAATGTAGAGTCCAAACCTGATTTGTGATACAATTTGATTGATTTGAATTCATTAGTTTCATTCTTAATTTTCACATTTTTGTCTTTATATTTGATCTCAGGGTTTGCTTCCTCATGCCAATCCATTCCCAAGATCAAATCAAACGGCAAATTCTTTTCAATCAAGAAGGTTACTTCATGCGCATTGTGTCCTGAAGTAACACTTTATGTTTTCCACGCACTAGAAAACCGTGATGGTACTCTGATCTGCCAACATAGGGACAATAGGCTTTGCTAGATTCTTCACGCGCATACCCAAGTGCATTTTCTTTACAGTGCCTCAGATATGTAGGATCTAGTCGAGACCGTATCTAACAGAGTGTTCGTCCGTGTCCTTGCAATCTTCATGTCTGCAAGCATCAACTCGCCCTTAGACTTTGCCTTCTTAGCCCATGAGCTTCGTAAGTTAACGAGTTAAGCGCCAAGCTCATCAAGGGTCTCACTCAGAGGAATTCAACACATCACAGGTTTAGGGTGATCTGAGTGAGGGGCAAAGGAAGAAACATCCTCTGCCATTGGAGCTGAAGGG